CGCCGGCCGGCCCCAGGCGCGGTGTCCCCCATGCGCAGGGCCGACCCGCCGGCGGCTACAGCCCAGAACCAGCACTCAGCTCTGCCTGTTCCTGCCCGCCCAGCCCTTGGTCACCCACCTGGGCTGGCCACGGGGGCGAGGGCTCCGGAGAGGGGCCCGCCCCCCAGGACAGCCGGGTGTCTGGGCAGGCAACGGGAGAGGCTGTCCGCGGGCAGAAGGGAGCAGGGGGCTGGGGGCGCTGTGGGGCGAGACTCGGCCCCACCTACGCTCTTGTCCTGCGGGCCCGGCCTGCCCCACTGGCCGCTGGACCTGCCTGCAGCCGGACCTCAGGGTCTCCTCCGGCCGCGCCCGCTGCGTGACTGCAGGCGCCTCCAGGGCGTCCGGCCGTGGGCCACGGCCAGGCGCCTCCGGACCAGCAGCCTGTGCCTTGACCCCGGGAGCCTCCCCTTGCCCTGCCGGTGGGGACAGGTCCTGGCCTCGCGGCCTGCGGCCGCCCCTGCAGCCATCACTGGCGGCGGCTGGCCGGGCCTGGGCCCCGCGAAGCGGCCTGCGTGAGCTGCCGCCGGCCAGGGAGGGGCGCCCGCGTCCCTCCCGTTCTCTGCCGCAGTCCTCACCGCGCCTTCCCGGGGCTCCAGAGCCACAGGATGCAGGTGGGCACCGGTGCGGTGACCCCGCCGGCCAGAGTCCCCACGGTGGAGGCCTCGGGACAGTCACGCTGGGCCCTGCGGGCCGGCCCGGAGCTGACCCTGGGCCGCAGGCCCCGCCTGCCGCCCCCTCGGCAGTGGACTTCGTCCGTCGCCTGTCCTGCCCCCCGCTCCGTCTCTGGGGAGTCCTCAGAGGCCGCCTGCACCTCTGGCCTGCGCCCCACTTCTGGATGCGCAAATAAAGTTCAAAAAAAGGAAGGTTCCCGCCCCCAGCCCGCCCACTCCAGCCCTCCCTTTCCCGGGCTGGGCTTCGCGTCACCACGTCCACGGGGGTGGCCCCGGCCCGGGGTCAGTGTCACTCCCCTTCTGGGACGGGACGCGAGAGGGGTCCCTGCGGGGCCCGGAGCAGAGACAGGAAACCTGACCCCGAGGGGCGGCCCGAGTCTCAGGCCCGCGCTGGCCAGGCCCGCGGCGGTGTCCGGGCTGCCCGGCTCGTGTGACTCCCGCTACCGTGTTCTGCCGCCGCCAGGTCTCGCTCTGCTGGCACCTGTGTTTCACCTTGGAATTGTCAAGGTCGTAGGAACAACGGCAAGGTCAAGCTGACCGGAGCCAAGGGAGTGGCAGAGGACTGTGCCTCCCGCTGGGCGGGGCTGTCGGCGCAGAGACCCTCTGAGGCCCTGGCCCCCCGGCCCGGCGCGGCCGTCCTGCTGGGCTCCCCTGGCGGGAGCTGGACCGGGGCAGCGCCCAGCGGGGCTCCCTGGCCCCAGCCCACTCCCGGAGGCCAGTCTGTGCTGTGGACGCCTGGAAGGCTCCCGCCGGCTGGCCGCTGACCGTGGCCCACGGTGCGCCGACTGGGCGCGGGCTCCCGGCTGGAGGCTGGGCCCCTCGGGGTCAGGGCATCCTGGGGAGGGCTGTCCAGCCCGCGGTGTCCCCGCCGGCCACGGCGCTGGCACGTCGGCTGGGTGCTGCTCCAGGTGGGGTCAGGGTCCGGCTCACCGCCCACCTCCCCGGTGCTTCCGCCATGCGGGGGGCTCAGTCGGGCCTCAGGCCACGGCGGGGGGCG